GCCGCACTTCAAGAGGGATGTGGACAGCATGGAGAGGGTCCAGAGGAGGCCACTCGCATGGTCAGGGGGCAGCAGGGCAGGCCCTATGAGGAGAGACTACAGGACCTGAACCTGTTCAGCCTTCAAAAGAGAAGGCTGAGGGGGGATCTTGTGGCCTGTTACAAACTGGTCAGGGGGGATCAGCAGGCATTGGGGGAGACATTGTTCCCCCGAGCACAGCCAGGAGTGACCAGGAACAACGGTCACAAGCTAGCAGAGGGTAGGTTTAGGTTAGACATCAGAAGGCGCTATTTCACGGTCAGGGCGGCTAGGGTCTGGAACCAACTTCCAAGGGAGGTGGTGCTGGCTCCTACCCTGGGGGTTTTTAAGAAGAGGTTAGATGAACACCTTACTGGGGTCGTTTAACCCCAGTACTCTTCCCTGCCATGGCAGGGGGTCGGACTAGATGATCTTCTCAGGTCCCTTCCGACGCTAGAAACTATGAAACTATGAAACCTAAGTTTCCTTTGAACTTTTCAGCTCAACTGCCTGTGTTTTTGCAAGTGAGAATCCCATTGATCTCAGGGGAGCAGACTCTTTGTAACACTGACTGCTGGACAAAGTCTGCGAAGTGGAAGATCGGGGGGAAAAAAAAAGGTTAAACAGATGGAATGTGTTGAGCATACAGCATGCTGTATGTGGAAACGTGTCAGAGCCCAGAAACCCTCAGCATTTCCCTGTACCTAACGACAGCTGCCTTGTTAATTTTATTCTGGTCAATAAGTCATAGCATTTCGACTGATCCTTTGCAATTATTCGCTGTAGAGGTTCCTGATGTGACTAGCAGTCTGCAGAAGTATAAGGCAATCTGGCAATTTCTCCCCCTATCCTTTTCCCTCTTCTCCCAAAGAGAAGAATAGTTAACGAGGATGAATGTGGGATTGTCAGGATGTTTGCATGACTTTCATTGTGAGAATGATAGCAAGTGGTAGGCGGGGGACTCCTAGAAAGCACATGTTTGCATGCAAGGATGAGCGAGGGGGTGTGGAGGATTTTTCTGCAAGTGGGTGAAGGGGCATTTTACAAGGAAGCACAAGAGCATAATGATGAGAACAGGGAGACAGGGCAGAAATGTGTATTACGGGACAGACCGGGTGCAAAAAAGGTACTAAAATACAAGAGAACAAGAATAAGCCAGCCCAGGAGCTGTTGGAGAGCTAGTGACACCACATCTGCCAGTGGATGTAATGGTCCTGGCAAGACAAGCACACAGAAGAGAGCTCACATAGGAGAGAATAGGCACAGTAATGGTGTAAGAGTGATGAACAGCTAATACAGGAGAAGGGAGCACACCCAGCGTGCCAGGAGTACAGCTCTCCAGCCTGTGCAGCTGTCTTTTATGTGCAGGGAGGATTCACTCCATCAAACTCACCCAGTCCAGTTTAGGACACTGGAACTAAAATTCCTTCCAAACAATTGTAGTAGGGTCCCATTCACTGCTGAACACAGTCCCACTAGGCTTACCCTTCTCTCCTCCCTGCTCTGTGTTCTCTGCTCTGCTCCCTGCTCTCCTTCTGCTTCACCGCTGCATGATTTGACTGCTGGTGGCATGGCAGCCTCCGCCTTTGCTGCTCCTGCCCTCCTGAAGAGCCGTTTTGCAACCCTCTGCTTCATCAGCTCTCCTTTATAGTTTGAAGTCTTGTGTCACTCTCTCACCTGGATCTCAAACTTCCCTTCCTTGCTGAGCATTTTTATCTGATTCAGCCTCCTCCTGTCTAATGAATGCTAATTATGTCATAAAGCTCACTGGTGGTACAGCTACAAACATTGATCACAAAGCACTCTTGTATCTATTTATATGCTCTGAACAAGGAATGCTGCTGCACGCATGATACCTGGTGAGTATAGTCATGGGAAAGAGCGAAAATTGCTCCTGATCTGGGATGGCAATGGCACTCATGAGTAGGCAGAAGGGAGTGGGAATAGGTAGGTAGGAAATACTATGACATTGCAGAAGAACAGTCAGGAGGAGGTTGCAACAACAGGACATGTTACAAAACCTGAATGCTTAAGAGTAACCTACAGAAGATAACAGTTTGGTGAGTGTGAGGCTTGTGTGACAATATCAGAGGCGTGTAAGAGAGAGAATGGAGAACAGACCATGAAAGAAGGGGAAGAAAAAGTTAAAATCCCCAGTTTGCTTAAGGAAAGGTATCAGGATTTTTTTGATCCCTCCAGTTAGCTCCTACTAGAAGTTATGGGAAAACTCAGTCAGCATCAAATATTTTGTTTCCAGTTTCATTCAACAAAGACTGCATAATAGACAAGGAAAAACTTTACCGGCCTACCCATCTTGCCCCTCTTCCCAGGAACTCCGGGGATCCCCTGCAAGGAAAACACACAGAAAAAAGAAAGTCTGGTTGGGGAAAAAAAAAATCAAAACAAAACTAAGAGGAATAAAAACAACCCAATAGCTGCAGAATTGTTCAGAAACCCAAATGTCAGCTATTTGCAGTCATCAGTAAGAGCAAGGGAGTGTAGGAAGGCAATTAACCTTAACCCACTGACTGTAACATTCCCATAGTGCATGCACAAGCACCATCCACACCCAGGGGCAGAAGGCTGAAAGTGCTCTGCAGGAGCAGTGATTAAGCTACTGGGTTGGAACCAAATGAAGACTACAGCCAACACACTTGCTGGAGAGCTTCTGTTTATGTTTCTTATTTTGTTACACAAGCATTAAATCAGCCACTTCAGAGCATTAGATAGTTCCTCCCATGCGTGCGCACACACATGCACATGCTCCTGGGGCCTGTCTTGTTTCTGGAGCCTGTGTTTGTCAATGATGTGGAGGAAAAATAGAAGTAATACAATCCACATCTTACAGTGAACCTCCTTGGATGTGGTTGGGGGCTGAGTGGGCCCTTGACTGCATGGATGGCCAATGGCAGGAAAAGAAGGGCCTGTGAAGCTCTTTTCAAGATCAGAAGTAGTGACATGCAGAAGGGGATGAGGACAGAGGGAGCTATGACCCAGGACTAGGATTCCCAGAGGTGACTAGCCATACTCTGTGCTTCAATTTTTGGTTGACCAGCTTGAGATGCTGGAAAGGAACTAACTGTCAGACAATGCCGAGCAGCTGACCTCTGTAAACCAGGCCCCTTCAAAGGGTCTCCAGTTGGCCATCCAAAATCAATAGTCACAGTGGAAAAAGGGATTGTTCACTTAAACACTGGTTTCCTTCCATAAAGATGTACCAAAAAGCAAACTACAATCCATTTGAAAACTCCCCTCTGTTGAATCAAAGGGTAGGAGCTCCCTGCTTGGAAGCCATCTTCCATACAAGGAAAGGAGCATGATGAAGAGGGCAGCTATTTCTTTGTCTCAGCAGTAGGCCCTCTTGCCTGTGCTCTGAGTAGTGGGGAAGGCAGAGGATGAGTCACATCCAGAACGGGCTGAAATAGGTACTGAAGAATCTGGAGATGAATAAAGAGCACGTGCCAAGGCTTTCCTCGCAAAATACTCACTCGTTCTCCGTCAGCCCCTGGCAGCCCAAATAATCCTGGGAGACCAATATATCCCTAAGGAGAAGAGGAAACAAGAAGTCAAATACATTTCTTCTCCCTAGCTACCAATCTGTCTGTCCTTCCTGAACAGCAGAGGATCCTCCAGCGTTGGTCTATGGCAGTCGTGATGAAATAAACCTTGAGGCAAGTGTATATGCCCATGGACTGCATGGTGCTGGCTTCCACGATGTAGTCCAAGGGCACATACCCTCACACCAGGGATCATGAGAACTCCGCACAGGAAGAGGCCAGTCGGATGTAACCTTACCTGGGCTGGGTCTGACTGTACCTGAGGGAAATGGAGCTTGGTTTCAGATTAGCAGGAGTTACAGCCACAATCATCTGCATGCCCATGCCAAGCCAGAGACCTTTAAGGCCCTGGTCTTCCTGAAGGTCTACAAAGATTTTTTTTCCCCTCTACTGTTGTTGTCACCCAGGGATACTGATTCCAGCCACACTACACAACAGCCCATCACACATCAAGTTCCCATGCTCCCTGTCTCCAGTTGCCTGGCATCATACAACTGTCCTATATCAAACAGTCCCTAGGGTCTCCTCCCAAGCAGTCTATACTGATCTATGAACCACCTCACTTGGCTTGGTACCCTTCTTTTGATGTGGTGCGGTGCTACAAGTATGCAACACCTGAACAATGACATGATAGTTTGGTTTAAAGCCATAAGTTCTTTCAATACCAAATTCCTTTGCGAGTTCTTTCCCGACCTTCTCTCCACAGGAGCCAAGGACCCACGCTAAAAAATGCATGGGTGCAGGAGGCCAACCCGTGTGCCCAGTTAAACTTCTTAATGCCCATTCACAGCGGCTCAGCTTTCAGTGTGCCTACATTCCCTCTGAAATCAAACTGTGAAAATTAATGCTCTGTTTAGCACAAGGTTTGCTCCATCTAGGTTCATTAGCAATCACTGGGGTTCAGGTCTGTGACATTTCTCTAGTGCTTTAGGATCCTGCACGGGCAAAAGCTGCTGTCAAAGAGCTACGTTTCCTTTCACTTACAACAATCAGAGCCTTGTGCTTAATTTGCTGCACTCAGCAATTAAAAGAAAGTTACCTTGCGTGCTATCTTTTGCAAGGGACCATTTCTGCCAAACATGCTGAATCAAAAGGAAACTACTTTTGGCAGAAAGCCACTTGAACTGACTCTCCAAAAGTCATGTCACCACACAGTAGGTATCAAGTGCCAACACTGAACCACTCTTCTACCCCAACACCAGCAACCCCTCACTGCCACCTACACTCCTCCGCTGATTGGTCACAATGAGGCTCCTGCTCTTTGGAGAATCCATCATACTTTTACATACTGGTTCAGTATTTCAGCTAGTTAGTAGCTCCTTATAAAACAATACTCTGGTGGTATGTAAAACTGCTCAGAGAGGGCCAGCCATCCAACTTGCTATCTGCTTCCTTGTCCTGGGTCACATACAAATCCACTGAATTGCTGCGTTTGTTCCCATGCTCCCCATCGAGAAAAGGATATGTGGCTGAGACAGTCAAGAATTCAGTGTCTTTCACTCATAAAAACTTGAAGTCTGGGCTAAGAGATGTCAAGGCCCAATTCTAATCAGTTGTAAGAGAAGTGAAAGGTTCCATCCTTGGGGAGCTCAAAAAAATCTCAGCCCCCAGTATTCAGGAGTCCTGATGGACATTCGAAAGTCTTACTCTGTGTCAAAGACCCTAAACAGTCATGTCAGTACTCAAAACCTACAATTTTCAGTGATCAATAATCACACAAATCTCTAGTTCAGAGTCCGGTTAGGTCAGTAAACTGAGAGTGTCAGAAACAGGCCTACTAAGAGAAGCAAAGTAGGTAAGTAAGCTGTGCTATCACAGATCTGTCCCTACCACAGTATATTAAACAACCGATCCTTCCTCCCACCCCTGCCATTTCTCTCCCTAGTACAGGAATAAAGTTAGCTATGGGGTCAGCCTTTCTTTATTGTTTGCAGTTTTTCTAGTGATGGAAGCCAGCTGGTAGCATTTACTGATGCTGGGGAAAGAAACACGTGGTAGGGAAACAGGCACTTTTATTGGCCCAGAGTGTCATTATGGATTTGTAATTGCTGGCAGAGAGCAGAAGGGTGGTTATCTGTTGTTTTAATTTAAAAAAAAAGAAAAATCATCCTTCACAGTCAGAAGGAATCCCCCCTCCGTGTGCTCAATACAAAAAGCCAACCCAAGCTGTGGAGCCGGAACATTATTATTCTTATTTGCATGTGGTTTCAAGATGTTGGCTTGTTATACACAGAGATGTAAACTGGTCCCAAATTTTGCTGTTCACAGAATTCACGACCAGCCTGCACCCAGAAGAACCCATCTTTACCATGTTCCCAATATGCTTAATTACCACATTTGTCAAAGCTGAAGAGGCCCCACAGACTGCAGCTGGAAAACCAGACCTCTGGGATTGGTACCACGTTTGCTCCTCTCTACTTCTTAGCTCTTGGAGAGGGTTGACTAAGGGATGGCACCATTAGCACTGGGACATTTGCTTCTTTGATTCTGGTACATTTCAATTTTGAACAGATTGGGAATTTAATGATGCACTGATTTATGAGCTCTGTGTCATATCAATAATTTAAGAAGCTTGTACTGGTTGCAAAGTTGAGTACAAGGAGGGGGAGGTGTCCGGTGGTGAATGTCAGGAGAGAATAGAGTGAAAAGGAATGGAGTACTTACCCGATTGCCTTTTGGACCGGCTCTGCCTATTGGTCCAGGTAGACCCTGAAACACAAGAGTAAAAACAAAGACAAATGTGGACAGGTTTTAACTTAACCCAAGTGAACACTGCCAAATTTACAGCACTATTCCCAGTGTGCTTCTGCTGCTTTGGAGACTAACCCAAGGGTTATCATCAAAGGAGAATAAAGAAAAAACCCAGAACAATTCCCTAATTGTTGTGGAGAAATGACTCTACAAAACTTGGTAATTTTAGAAAACACAGAATGCATGCAACGGGACCCAAACCATTCAATCTAAGCTAGAAAATTCTGGTCACAAAGACCAGGAAGGCTGGCACAGTGGGGTGCAAGTTACATTACCGGCAATATAAAATGACACTGTGCAGACTGTATCCCTTGCTCAAATGGCAGGGTTGAGTTTGCAGCTGCTGAATCATATATATAAGGCAGGTCTTTGCAATGACAAATACACCTTAATGCCTGTGAGGGGAACAAAGATGAGGCCTGACCCAAACCACACAGAAAACACTGGAAGAACACGCTTTGACTTCCATAGGCTATGGATTAGCCCCACACTACAGATGCTGCATACAATTAAACATTGATTGTGGACGTAAGAACTCCAAGTTGTGAATGGCCATTTGATCATTAGCATCTGGCAGATTTGTAACTAATTAATGTACTTTTCTAGGTACAAGCTGGCCCCAAGTCCTATTCCTTTTGATGTCAACAGTCAAGTTCCCATTGGTTTCAACAGAAGAAATTAAAGATCATCCACCCAAAATGAGTTAACTTGTAGACTCTGCCCAGGGCATCAGAGCTTATGGAAGGAAATAAAAATAAGCTTCATTGTATCTCTGTACTCATCACTTCTCCCTTAAGTACTGTGAAAAGGGATCCTATAAAAATGCATAATGAGCTTCCATGTTTATTGTCTTTCATCAAGTCTCCAGATTGTATTTGTCTACTTTCCAAGTAAAAAGGATTAATTCATATTTTCTTTAGTTGGCAGCTCTGTGTACTCAACCAGGGATCTGAAAGTCAAGCTGTGTTCTCTTTTGGCTCATGTATCATCACCCAGAAGAAGTTTTCTACCATCGAAATATAGTTAACAAGTCTACCTATGGTGCACGAACCAAAATAAAGCCAAGTTCCCTCTCCCATACCACTGCAGAGCCAGCACAGCTGACAGGAGTAACAAGCAGTAAAATCTTAGTAAAATAATCAGCTCTGATGCTGAGTACACAGTGTCATCAAGTCTGTGGAGAAAACATGTTGGGGTTTTTTAAGTCACTTTCCTGACCAAACTTGCATTTTATAAAGCACTATTGTTCTCTATGTATTTGGAAACATATTTTGCCCAGTTCATCTGCTAGGGTGTAGGATACCGCCGAACTCTGTTAAGCAGCACCCATTTTACTGTATGTTTTTTTGTTGCTCAGGTGGTTTTTATAATGATTGAGCTGATAACCTCAAGCTCATGGAATATTCTCAGGAGCTTTGGTGGGCAGCATGAACACCGCATTTGCAATCAGATGTATACAAATCTCAAGATTTTTTCCAATGTATGTCTACACATTTATGCCTGAGATCCACAGACTGAGGTATCTTTTGTAAGGTGTCAGTTTTATATTTCTAGTGTGTATTAAGTGGACCCTCAGCTACTCATGTACTTTGTAAGATGTGTGAATGCAGAAAATATAATCTAATATACGTACCAGGTCATTATCAATAATGAAATTAACCCTGCATCTGTATGACATCTTTTATATAAGTATCCCTACAGTGCAAGTGTAGTGTTTAGGCTAGGTCAAGGTATAGTGCAATTGTAGGTGGGGTCTAAACCCTAGCCAGCCCTAGTACGTGCATATTTAAGCATTCAATTTGAAGCACAGCAGTGTTTGGATCTGCACAGAAAATGCTTGATGCATTTTGGGCCCAGCTTCCTTAACTCAAGTGACTAATTCTACAACGACCAGTCGAGCATCACTGGCTGCTCAGCACTACTGACAAATCTCGTTCAGGTGCCTGAACATGGATCCGGGAGCACACATTTAAGGTGGCTGTTTTTAAAAATCTTGATGATCTGACCTGGCATAAATAAAATATTACAAGTTCAGGCCCTCTGTGACAAAGGTCCATGGACATTTCCATCTGGAGCCACTGGCAAATTCTCTACCTTCTTTCCATGTCCACCAGCATCGCTCTAGAGCCATAAGTAAGCAACACACGCGGTTCTGTTTTCTTTCCCTCTACAGACTCTTCCCTTTTTAAAGTGTTTCTGGCAACTAGCTTGAGAAATGCTATTTTCTTATGTTCTCTGTTTCATGTGTAAATGATTATTGTGCTGGTGGGCTGGCTTAATCAGTGTTGCTTGCAATGGGCCTACACAGGAACAGAAACTGATGTGGACTTATGGTTTGTCTTATGGGCCTCATGTGGAGTGAGGGTCACTTCTGGCATCCCTGATCTAGAGTTATCTCCATTATAGCGTATGATTTTATAGTGGTTATATTTTTACGGCGGTTGACCCAAACTGGTTCACAGTATACAAATCTGTGGAATTTATCTGAGGCTATGCAAACTGAGCTCTCCTTTAGGTACCTTTGGGTGCAACGTGCACAAATTGGAGGGATTTTTCACGGTTCATAAGCATTTTACTTCTTTAGATTATAATTGTGGCTGTCAATTAATCGCAGTTAACACATATGTTTAACATGTTAATTGTTTTTTGTGTTAATTTTTTTAACGCATTAATTGTACATGTGGCTTTGAAGCCCGCACCCGGGCTCCACTCTGCTGCCGTCTCAGTGGTGGCAGTGCAATGGCTGCCAAGTGGGAGGGGTGGCGGGTGTGTTGACAGACACAGATGCATCTGAGCAGCTGCAGTGTGCATACAGCCAGGAACACAGCTGGCAGAGTGCAGAACAGCACCCTACAGGTAAGTCTGCGGAGGGAAGGGGCATGGGAGAAAGAAGGGGCAGGGAGGGCAGATCAAGGCCCCCATGGCGAGGAAGGGAGTGGGGCAGGGGTGAATGGGAACTCAGACCGGGGCGGGTTGTGGGACTGAGTCACGGGTAGCTTGTCCAGCAGTGCGTAGCGTGCAGCTCCCTGATGCTGTGTGCACCCATGGGGGAGGCATGGGGGGCACGTGCCTCACATTTGTGTGCAGGGCAGAGGTGGGCTGCCTGCTGTAGGCTGGGGCTGTGAGCCCTGCCTTTGCCCTGGGAGCCGCACAATATCACGTTGTGCCTCCCGCAGCCATGTTGGCAGGGGACGCGTGGCCCAGCCAGCTTACAGCTCCCGAGGCAAAGGCAGCAGGGTGCAGAGCCCCAGCCTGCAACGAGCAGCCTGCCTCTGCCTCGCGTACAAATACAGAAGGCACGTGCCCCCATGCCTCCCTCAAAGGTGTGCTCACTGCGGGGAGCTGTGCCCCCCCTGCACTCCTGGACAAGCTGCCCATGGCTCTGTTGCACGACCCGCCCTAGCCCCAGGCCCCATTCACCCCTGCCCCACTCCCTCTGTTACCATGGGGGGCCTCTCTGTGTGTGTGTCTGCCCCTTACTCCCAAGCCACAGCCCCCTTGCCCTTCTGCTGCTCCTCACTCCTGACCCACAGTACCCCGCATCCTGCCAGGGTGTGTAGGGACCCTCCCCCCATCCTCAAGCTTCAAACCTTGCACACATACCCACAGCCCCCCACACCTTCACAAATCGCCCCCATGCACACACCTACCCCCCAACCATACAAAGTATCTGCATAATTTTGCATAATTTTGAATTTTGCTGCACCTAATTTTGAATTTTTAGCTGTGTGATTAAAATCGTTATTATTTGCAACTAATTTTTTTAATCACACAACTAATCACAATCAAAATTTGTAATTGTTTGACAGCCCTAATTATAATATATTAATTTCCCAGTAAGTGTGCCTCTTGCAGGGCTGGATGATTCACCAGTGCTTGGATATAGATAGTTACTGGGAATCTTTGTGACAAGTCAAGGGATCCTCCGGTATTATTGTTCCAACCCTTGAACTTCATAGACTGTAGATGCTGTGTTTTCTCTGCATAACAAAAGGAATACATTTCCATATCCCTTAGCTCTATCTTTATTTGGGATATGGGTATGTGCCGTGGATGCCATGCACATGGAATTTCTAACTCTTTGGAACATATTCAGCAGGGTCTCATCTATAAGGGATTTTGTGTACCGAGTGGATGCTGCAGTACAGAGTCAATATCTGTGAATGAGCAAGACATGCTCAGTGGCTTTTCCTTTGCTTCTGTCTGTAGCCTGTTTCTCTGACACCCAGTGCAAGCATAGATCCTGCAATGACCATATCTGCATGAGATCACCCAATATGCTGAGCAGATTCTCCAGTGATCACAAGTGTGTTTGTTTCTTAAAGGCAATGACAATACGGAAGGGACAATATTCACTACCAAATCCAAAAGGACCACATAATTTATGCAAAAGCTAGGGGGAGGAAGGGAAGAAAAACCAAACACATTTCAAGGAGCCTGCATTGTATATGTTGGGGGGGATGCTTGTAGCTACCTGCACACCCAAATCACTACTCTGTGCACAGCACGATAAGATTTACTGCACCTGCCTGCCAGGATAACCTTTGGCACCTGGGCTCCCATCTGGTCCTTGTTCACCCTTTAATAAAAAAAACAAAATAAAAGATGAGTACATGAAGGTGATGCTAGTTCCCCTGCCTACGAGTTTTTAGCTACTTTGTCCTGGGGAAGGGCTGCAGATTCACTTGCTCCAGATTTATAAAGAGAGAGAAACATTGGATTAAAAGCAGCAGTGGGAATAAATTAATGAAAGGAAAAAACTAACAGAAGCCAACTTGACAGGATCTGAGCATTAACTAAGTGTTGCTGTCCACCCCCCTTCCCCCTCCTGCC